AGGGTCCAGACCCGAAACGTCAGCTTTCCTGCTCCTCTGATGCTGCCTGGCCTGCTGTGTTCATCCAGCTCCACACTGTGTTATCTCAGACTCCAGCATCGGCAGTTCCTACTATCTCTGAGTCAGTTTATTAATGTCCTTGCTCTTAAGATGGAGTCCAAAAGCCCAAAGTTGGAGTTAGCAGTCTAGAATTCTTTGCTGGGGACAGTATGATTGGTTAACAACAAGCATTGAAGAGTTTTAGGTTCTCACTTTAAAAATCCCTTTAAAAGTATTCTGAGAAAGCTTTGCTGAAATGTGATGGAAGCATTCCATCACACTCCTGACTTGTGCTTTGTCAATGGTGGATAGGCTTTGGGGAGTGTCACCTTGAATTATCTGCTGCATTCTCAGGAGTGGTTCTTGAACCCCTTTCCCTTTGATTGAGAAGTAAGCATGCTCCTCCCTGAGCGATGCTGATACTGGAATTTAGGCTGTCATTCAGATTGCTCCCCTGAGATCTCTCTCCTTGTGCTGCCCTCATCTGACAGCCATCTACAACTGCGTCATCTCATTAAGGGCACCTTCAGAAGTGAAAAGTCAGTTTGACAAAGGAATAAGGTTGGTTTTACACAAGAACTGTTTCTCTCTTCCGAGATGCTGCCAGATCTGTAGTTTCTGATTTTACGTGAGCTTTCTAGCGTTCACAGCATCTTACCTAGTCATACTGATTGATTTGTTTGATTGGGTAAGAGTGGGAAAGGTGATGGAACCAAAGTGGGTGGATGGAATTAATATGCAGCTGACTTATGACCTAGCAGTGGAACAGGTTCGAGAGGCTGAATGCACACATTCCTAAGTTTGCATTTGTGTTATTAGCAGCTCCTGCCTTGGCTTGGCTTGATAGTTTCAGACATCAGAAAAAGTCATGGGTTCAAGGCTAAGTCAACTCCTTGATGGAGGCGAGATGAGGCTGGGCAGAAGGAACACCATGTGAAGTAGAAACACCAGCAGAGGCCTGCTTCCATGCTGTAAATACTCTAAAATCACAGACCACCACCCCCACCCCGCCCCTACAATACCGAGTACAATTTGAATTGCCACTACCAGCTTGTCTCATCATCCTTGTATTGGGAATATACAGTGGGACAGCATGAATCAATGTCTTCTTCCCCAACTTTGTTCCTGGGCAAAGGCAAAGGGTCTTTGCTGCACAATTACTCGAGTTGTCCAAACAGTGGGGACAGCTGCAATTACAAGCAATTACGGGCATAAGCACATCCATGCATGTTGGAATCACATTCTGAATGTCCCTGTTGTAGCATTTTCTTGCTAAAACACTATGTACCAGAGAACAGAATTTAGAATCTAGATGATCCTTCCCCATCCCAGTTCTCCAGCTCTTAATGACTGTTAATGAACAGTTCTTTTTTTTTTTAAAGGCTTTGGTCCCAAAGTGTGCGGAAGATTCACACAAAACTGATTTTGACTTCAACAGGCTTTTGCCTGGAAGGAGTTAATGTTTAAAAAAAAGGGCTGGTTCCACTTTGATAAACTGAATTTCTAAATCAGACTTTTTAAGAGTTTGTTAATTTGAATTGTTGGATAAATTAAGTCTATAAGACAATAAAGTCCTATCTGTAAGGTGATCATAGAACTGCAACTCCTAAAGGTAAACCAAGTTGAAAACCAACTGGTCTTTTCAATAAGACATTAAACAGAGGCCTTTATCACTCTCCCAGCTGGATGCATGCGATCCCATGGCATTCTGAAGAAGAGTTCTCCCTAGTGTCTTTGCCAATAATTTATTCCTCAGCCAACAAGACCAAACCTGATTATCTGCTCATAATTACATGGTTGTTTGAGGGAGCCCCCTGTGTGCCAATTGGCTGTTGTGTTTCCTACAACAGCGACTACATCATAAGTACTTCGCTAGCCATAATACATTTTCATGGGAAGTCCGGAGATTGTGAAAGGCACCAGAGAAACAAATCATTTTCTCTCGCGTTCCAGTTCCCACCCCATGAAGATACAATGTAACACTTTGTTTAATCTTTTGATTGTGTGAAGCTGAATGATAACACAAGCAAAATATTTTAGTTTAATGTAATCACTGTTCAGTAGTGTACACAAAGCAAACTGCCAAAATCACTGGCTAGCAATCAAATTTACAGCAGATTTCACAGTCATATAATTTTCCAACAGCTGGGCTATGCCTTGGAAGATTCATTACCGTTCTAATTTTAAACTAGGTACAATTAAGTGAAAATTGGCCAGCAGAAGTCAAAAGCATTAACTTGTAACTTTGGTGCCAGGTGGAAAGACAAACAAAACGCTATGAAAAGAACAACACCTATACCCCTTCCCCCCAGCCCTGGGTCAACATTGAGGTCCTGCTTTTCCCGATATACATTAATAATCTGGATCTTGGTGTACAGGGGTCAGTGTCAAAATTTGCAGATGATATTAAACTTGGGAAGGTTTGTAAGCTGTGGAACTCCAAAAGTTGATGGAGTGGGCAGACAGGTGACAGGTGAGGTTCAATGTAGAGAAGTGTGAGGTGAGGTGACATGTGAAGAATCTGGATCAACTGGGCTTGTACTCCCTGGAATGTAGAAGAATGGTGTGGGGGGGGGGGTTACAGAAACATAAAATCCTGATGGAACTGGACAGGCTGGATATGGGAAGAATGTTTCTGATGTTGGGGAAGCCCAGAACTAGGGGTCACAGTCTAAGAATAAGGGGTAAGCCATTCAGGACTGAGATGAGGAAGAATTTCTTCACTCAGAGAGTTGTGAACCTGTGGAATTCTCTCCCACAGGAGGCTGCTGGGGCCAGTTCGTTAGATATATTCCAGAGGGAGCTGGACATGGCTCTTGTGGGTAAAGGGATCAAGGGGTATGGAGGGAAAGCGCGAATGAGAAACTGAGATTGCATGATCATACTGAATGGTGGTGCAGGCTCGAATGGCCGAATGGCCTACTCCTGCACCTATTTTCTATGTTTCTATGATGCAGTTTGGTTGGAAGAACATTGAAAGACAATATAAAACAGGGCGTACAATTCTAAAGGGGGTGCAGGAGCAGAGGGACCTGGGTGTATCTGTGCACAGATCATTGAAGGGGCCAGGAACGGTGGAGAGAGCAGTGAATAAAGCACACAGTGCCCTCAGCTTCATTAATAGGGACACAGAGTACAGGAGCAGGGAGGTGATGCTGAACTTGTACAAGACACTTGTTAAACCTCAGCTGGAGGACTGTGTACAGCTGTGGGCCCCACATTATCCAGAGAGAGTGCAGAAATGATTTACAAGAATGGTTTCAGGAATGAGAAAACTTCAGTGATGAGGACAGATTGAAGATGTTGGGACTGTTCACCTTGGAGAGAAGAAGGTTGAGAGGTGATTTGATAGAGGTTTTCAACATCAATGACTGGGCTGGATAGAGTAATTGGAAAGACGTTGTTCCCATTCATAAAAGGAACAAAAACGAGAGGACATGGATTTAAAGTGATGTGTAAATGAAGTAAGGGTAATACAAGAAAAAACATTCTCACCCAGCAAGTAGTTAGGGTCTGGAATGCACAGCCTGCAAATGTGAAATGTGGTGGAGGCAGGTTCCATTGAGGTATTCATGAGGAGCACTGGATGGTTATTTGGATAAAAATAGTGCGCAAAAGGTATGGGGTAAAAGCAGGAGATTGGCACAAGGGAATGATGTGCATTTGAAGAGCTGGTGCAGGCTCGATGGGTCGAATGGCCTCCTTCTGTGCTATAACACTTCTGTAATTCGATGATTGAGATTTTGGATGTTGCTGAAAAAAATACCCATTTTGCACGCCAGATAAAAATCTTCAACATCTGGATATTTTGCAAGACTATCAATTTAAGTGGAAAACCAACATTTCTACTGCATGAGAGGAGAACACTGATTGGTTGCTACATAAATCCTGATTGGTAGAGGTGTTGTCATGAAGAATGCACCAGTTAATTACAACTAACAATCAACTGCCAGGCTTAGGTCTGTTTAAAACAGACCACTCTGATTGGTCTAGACATTGCCTTGAGCAACAAACCAATTGTCAGTTGGGCTCACAGTGTTGCTCATGTGCATGTGCTGGAAGGTACATATATTAATGCACAGGGCCTTGTTCTTTGCAAACAGCAAGATTGCGTACAGGCACTGCACCTATTTCAACTCAATGAAATAGGTGATAGCTATTCACTGGTTCATTTCTCTGGGCAATGCCTGGACTAGTCAGAATCAACTTGCCTGCCTCAAAATCGAAAAAAAGCCTGACAGTTAACTGTCACTCATCACAAACTGGTGCACTCTCCATCCCAACACCTTCACCAGAGTCCACTTGCCAGCCAATCAGCACTCTCCTCTCATGCTGTACAAGATTCCCAACTAAACTGGTATTCTTGTGAGTTGTCCTGATGAAAAGTTACAGCAATGTTTTTTTCAGCAGTACATAGAGATTTATGATTTTTCAGTGCACTAAGTACAATTTACAATGTTTTTCAAGTTACTACAAGACTTTTGACAAGTGACCATCTCCCAAGCTATCTATATTGCTTTCAAAAACAAACACAAAGTCAGCTAGGCCCAGCAGCCAAAGATTGAGTTCAACAGTCCATGCTCAAACACAGAGATAATGCCATGCTAGGCACTATCTGGTTTTAATGAATGTACAAAAAATGATAGTAATGTGATTATATTCAGCCCTTTCTTTTAAGAAAACACCCATCCAAACTGTACACACTGATGTAAACTGATGTACAGTTCTACTAATGCTTCATGGTACCTCACCTGGGATTCCTTGTTTTCACCTTGCATGAGTGTCAATGGGACATTCAACCATGCGAGGCTGTTATCCAGTGCCCATCTCACATTCACACACATATATGTACTCAAACAGGATTCATTGGATAGCAAATGGAAACAGGAACCTGTGCTGATAGGATTTCCCCCCTCAAACTCTGGGACATTGAAGCCAATTGTCATGTCACTAGTATAGTCTAATTTTGTTCCATTTCCGCCCCATTTCCCTTTTCATTTCAGTTTCAGTTATTCATTGCTTGTTTTCTTTTGTAGAATAACAAAATGGCTGTGGGGCAGGAATTGCAAAATATTAATTCTTCAACAATGTGCAATAAGCACATTGTATCTGATCCAATTCTGACTGTTCAAACAGGGTTAGAAAAGCCATTTGCCTGACTTCAATTGGAGGAATGTTTTCTGCAGTGCTCTCCAGCATGCTTCACATACCACCCTGAGCACTGACATTTACATCACTGAACTGAGAAGCTATCATTTGTGATTAACTGCCAATTGCTTTCCTGCTTCTATAGTGCTGCCATAGTAAGACTTGAAAGTAGTCAGTGAACTGGGCCAACTGCAGCAACTAGTTAAGCATGGGCACCAGGTTACCCAGAATTTGTTTTGCCTTGGCAGCAGTGCAGAGCAATAGGAAAGCAGGGGAAGAGGGGCACAAGAGAATAAAAGGACATGAGGATAGTGCGGGAAATCTATGATTTTAATGAATGATGGAGCAAGCTGCTCCTATCGCTTGTGTTGTGAAATAACTGCAAACATTGGCACTGATATTCCATTGGATCCTAAAACTACAATGGTCACCGTGTAGTCCCAAGTCCTGATTACCAATAACTCTTGTCTCTATCTACACCCAAGTTCACAACATGAGAAAGAAGGTGACACTGCAAGATTGATGAGAAGGGATGATATGATCAATTAAGATAAAGGGGAACAGTTAGACTGGACAGAGACAAATTATTTTTGCTGCTTGGGGAAGGTAGCATTCGGGGCAAACTCTAAAAATTAGAACCAGATCTTTTAGGAGTGAAATTAGGGAGCACGTCCACACGCAAAGGGTGGTAGGTGTTTGGGACACGTTTCGGCTGCTTGATCAATTGTTCGTTTTAAAAATGGGATTGACAGAGAAATGGGGCAAAGGCAGGTATATGGAGTTCTGTCACAGATAAGCCACAATCTCATTGAAGGGTTGACCAGGTCTAAGGTGCTGGATGGCTTCTCTCTGTGCCTATGTACATGGTGGTCTCACTGAATTATTTACATCAGATTACTGTAAACTATGAGGCCACATTGCTGGCTATCTAGAATACTGTATTCAGCCTTTGGCACCATACCTCAGGGAGGTTTCCAGCCTCAGAGTGCACAGCACATTAACAAATAGCAATAATGGGACTAAAGGGGATAATTATGGGGAGAGAACGTGTAAATTTGGCTTGCTTAGAAGGTCAAGAGATGATCTCATTGAGGGTTTTAAGGTGCTCAATGAGCTTTGATCAGGTCAATACAAGTAAACACGATACTGGGGATATGGTTCAGGGAGAGGATGCTCACACTGGTATACCCATCCTGCCAGTGGATTTGCAGGATTATTCAAAGGCAGCTCCGATAATAGCTCTCCAGAGAATTCGGGTGTCTGCTGTACATGGTCCATGTTTCTGATGCACATAGGAGGGTGGGGACCACAACTTCTCTGTAAACCATGAGGTCGGTGCTGGGTTTGGGGTCTTACACTTTGAACACTGTCAGGCATCCGAAAGTTGCTTTGACGCACTGGAGCTCACGTTGGATTTCTGCTTGCACTAAGAGGTATGGGTTTGTAGCTCGGCCTCGAGTGTGTCTACTGCCAGGCCAATATCCCCAGTGTCGAGGCACTGGTCACATACGACCAGCTGCAATGAGTGGGTCACACTGTCCACATACCCGACACAAGATTCCCTAAACAAGGGCTGTACTCCAAGCTCCACAATGGTAAGCAATGACGCAGACCACAGAAGAAGCATTACAAGGACACCCTGAAAGCTTCCCTAAATATCACCACTGACAAGTGGGAATCCCGGAGTGGAAGCAAGTCATCCTATCCCCTGAATGATTGTTGAAGAGGGAAGGACGGGTAAACTATTTCCTCTGGTGGGGGAGTGTAGAACATTAAAAGCTAGAGCCCGGGTGTTCAGAGATGAAATCAGGGCTAACTTCTTCACACAAAGGGTACTTGAGCTTTGCCCCAGCCCATTCATCAAAAGCTGTGAACATGAATGGTCAAATGAAATGTGCAAGCTGCAGCTGGGTACTCTTTCAGGAACCTGTACAGAAACGATGGGTCAAATGGCCTCCTTGTGTACTGTAACATCCTATGATTGCACAAGTCTGAGATAAATTGTCAGGTATTCCGGGATGTAAGCGCTGCTGCCTCACAGCACCAGGGACCTGGTGGATTGGCTATGCTAAATTGTCCCGTAGTGTTGAAGGATGTACAGGCTCGGTGAATTAGCCATAGTAAACATAGGGATAGAGCAGAGGGATGCTCTTCAGAGGCTCAGTTAAGACTTGATGGGTTGAGTGGCCTCCTTCTGCACTGTAATGATTCTATGATATGGAGTTGAGGTGTTGATCAGACATAGCTGATCAAAATACCTGAACAGGCTGCTGCTGTTTATTCTTATTTAACCTATTTTTTTCCTCATCAACCTGTACAGATATTATTCCACCTGCTGGAGAAGGTGGGACTTGAACCTGGGCTTTCAGGTCCAGGTGTAGGGACACTACCACTGCACCACAATAGGGCTTAATTTTACATTCCCCAAACCCCAAAGTGTACCGCGGTATTCAGTAGCTTCAATCTTATGGCTATTTTGTACATACAATTTAAAAACCGGTTCTAACTAAACACAGGCAAACCCACTTGTATGGCATTTGGAAAAACACAACTGAATAAAATGCAAGTCAGCGAACTGATGCAGATAAATGAAACGCTGCATTTTTTTTTTCCAAACTAGTCTGGACTTTCTGGATTTGAACACCGCAGCGAGGGTAACTATTAATCCGAATCAATATTGGAGCTGACTGAAGCCCTTTTTAAAAACTCGAGTAGGTTGTACAGTGCACAATCCAAACAAAAAAAAAACGCATTTTTTTTTGCACTGCCTATACCAATACTCGGTTCTGTTCATGTATGAAACATTTAGGCCTGAAATGACACCAACTGAAATGTAACAAATGCACATTACAGTTACAAGCAGGGACTGACTGAAACCTACCAGTTGCCAGATCCAACGATACAGACTTTAAGAGGAGGAGCCATGGCCTGCTTGCTACTGCTCTCAGGAGCTGAAGGTGCTGTGTTCAGGGTCTGCAGCGGATTGCGGGACACTTTGCGGACTCGGCCCTTTTTAACCACGTGTTCTCTCTCCTCTCTCTCCCACCCCCGCCCGATTTCGATCAGCTCGCACAGAACCGTTGCAACTTTTTAGTTACCGCGGTACAGACTACTCAAAATGGCAGGCTCTCCCAAAACGTGTAGGGGTAAGGATCCGATACGGTCCTCCTCGCCAAGCAATCGGCCTGGCTACATTTCATATCCCGTCGAAAAAGAGAGTTTAGAGCAAGTTGAAACCTCTCGCAATTTTGTGCTGAGGATCTGGGCTGCGTCAATGCCCTAGACTGTCCGGCCTAACATAAATGACAACAAGCCCAGGTCCAAAGAGTCGCAGTTACGATAGCGCCTTTCACAAACCTCAAGATATCCCAAAGCGCTTTGCAGTCTTTTTTTTAAATTCGCTCGTAAGACGTCGGCATCACTGGTTGGGCTAGCATTTATTGCCCATCCCTAATTGCCCTTCAGAAGGTGGCACTGAGCTGCGTTCTTGAACCGCTGCAGTCCATGTGGTGTAAATACCTCCACAATGCCCTTAAGGAGGGAATTCCAGGATTTTGACCCAGCCAGTGAAGGACTGGCGATATAGTCATAAATGTCTCCAGTACAAAAAAGGCCCTTCAACCTATCCCGTCTTGATCACTCAAAAACAAACGCCTCACCTTTCTAATCCCGTTGTCCAGCACTTGTCCCATAGCCTCATGTGCCTTGGCATCGCAAGTCTCCCATGATTAACATACTGCCTTTTTGACAGGCCTTCCTCATCTCCTGACTTATTCTCTGTCCTATCATATAAGTACTGTAGCTGCGTAGAGGGCCTGTAGACTACTCCAACCAGCATCATTTTCCCTTTGTCATTTTTTTTAACCTCCACCTATATGAGTTCCACAGTCCATACCAACCATAATCCCAATCTAAACTCATCGCACCTGCCTGCTCCTGGCCTACATCCCTTCAAACCTTCTTATTCACCTACCTATCCAAATCTTCTGATCCAAGATCATTTCTTGCTATAATTCTCCATTGTAGGAAATTTGACAGCAAAATACACACAAGACTCACTCTGTGCCAATGATCAGCTAATGATTTTTGTGATGTAGGTTGAGATAAACAGCTTACGAGACATTGCTCAATTTTGAAATACTGCAAACAGAACAGACAGCACTTCCAGCAGTTTCGCTCTCCCAGAGTACTGGAGGTGAGTGAATGACAACTTAAATTCTGTGGTCAAATCTCTGGTGTAGGATATGAACCCCCAAGCTTGATTGGAAAGTGACGATTTGAATTTGGTTGAATTTCCCAATCAACTCAAGTCTACAGCAATCACCTAAAAACTGAATAAAGCTCCCCTGCCCTGAGATATGAAACAAAAGCAACTCAAAGTGGGTTATAAATTAATAAGCAAATCAGTGGTTCAGACATCATCTTTACTGTTCATCAGATCTCTTGTTGGGATTGCAACCTTTTAATCACTCCCTACTATTTATTCAGAGTCAAAATTGTTATGGTGCAGGAGACCATTCAGCCCATTGGGTCTGCAGTGGATAAACAGTATCATGACAGAGTGCCTTTCTCAGACTCTTCCCCATAGCCCTGCACAGTGGCTGATTAATTAAAGCAAAACAATGCCCTCTTGGATGCCTCAATTAAACCTGTTTCCATCACACTTTCAGACAGTACATTCCAGACTTGAATAACTTGCTGTAAAAGTTTTGTTTCTTACATTGTGTTGCTACTTTTACTATTTAATTACTTTAGAAATTGGTCTGAATGCTAAGCCATCACTCTCTGCTATCGACTTTAACACTGGTTCTGAAGAAAAGGTAATGACTTTTCGCAACTTTTACTACTGCCCAAAGTCTCAAAGCACTGCTGTAATGTAAGGAACATTTTTCAAGTACGTGTGAAATTTCCAAAATATTAGGAGTGGATGAATGATCAGAACTCCTCTCAGTTTGAAATTTCACAGGATTTTTGCCCTTTTCCCTCAGCCACATTTGCACAACACAACAGTTCTTTTCCAAAAAGAACATTCCATGCTTCATTAAATTTGACAGTTACAATTCGCTTGAGTTGAAACAACTTGGTGTGCCACAGCCATGACTTGTGCTCAATTAAAGGTTTCAGAAAACTGCTCACATTGCAGCAGTTGGGAGAGGTCTGCAATCCTGTTACATGGCTTTTGATTTGGATGCCATTTTCATATAGGCATAGCTAACCACTGATGAAATTGCTGCAGTCTGGTTTATGAGACTGAGCAGGGCTGCAGTGTTTGTACCAGCTCGGCCACAAAATTGGCACGCGAGAGACAGAGAGAAAGATGTTCATCTTTTAAGGATGAGACACATCCATCTCAGGCTGATTTAAGAAAGAAACGGCCTTTCATACAGTGCCTTTTCACAATTTTGACATCCCAGTGAAGTGCCTTTTGAAGTAGTCGCATGGGAAACATGGTAGCAATTTGCGCACAGCAAGCTCCCACAAACAGCAGTGTAGGACCAGATCATCAGTTTTAGGTGCTGTTTGAAGAGCAGGACAGCAGGGAGACACCTAGTCTTCAAATACTGCCTTGGGATCTTTCGCACTATGTGAAGACAGACAGGTCTACAGTTTGATTTCTCATCTGAAAGATGTCACCTTTGATGATGTAAGAATCCCTCAGTACTGCACTGGAAGCATCAGCCTAGGAATGTAAGGTCAAATCTCAAAAGTGCTATTTGAGCCCACAACATTCCGACTCATGTGAGGTTGCTACCACTTGGCCACAGCTAATTGGAGCTGTAGTATATGTTTTGCGCCAACAGATTGGAGCTCTGTGATCAGCTGCATCCTGCTCAGTGATAAACTCTGCCCGTGGCTGGCAATGCGCGAGGCTAGGATAAATGAATAATTGATCTCAACTAGTGCTCCACTCTCTGCTTAGTTAGCTGATCAACACAGGATAGCTACTTAGGGACAACCATTCGCCTTAACAACAGGAGGAGAGAAAATGGGTTCCCTAGCTAGAAATATATGCACAGATATGGAGTGCAATTCAAATGCAACATTCTTGTGCAGTTTTAATAGCCTGCCAACATCCTCCGTCAAGATTCACACAAAGAATGATCGGTCAGGACTGTGAGCAAAATCAGGCGAACAAGAAATACATTCAATTTTTTAAAAATTTGGACAGCGTTTCACATGACTTATTCACACTGAATGCAATAAAACTCCAGCTCATTGTGAAGACAAGTTTAAAATGGTCCAGCATGACTGGAGTTACACTGCACTGGGAAACAGTCTAACATCATCTTGCATTAGTCCATCTGAGAGTCAATCACGGACCTGACTCGAGTTATGCGACCATTTTTGCATCAGTGAGCTTCCAAAATTGCTTTGTGTCAAGACCAAGGTGGTGGTGGCATAACTGTGTTCATTGACTGCACAAGGCAGTTACTGACTGGCTCCTTCATGCTCAAAATGGTTAATGCAACCAGTTTTGATCCTGTCCCCATTCCCTTTCCTTCACTGTCTTTTGGGCGAGATGCTAAACTGAGACGCCATTTGCCTGCTCAAGTGCACAATTAAGATTGCATGATATCGCCTAACAATAGGGCAACAAGTCAACCAAAAATTGGTCATTCAAACTCATTCCCTGCATGCTTTCTGCAGAATCCACAGCACAGAGCAAGAGGTGGTAATAGCATAGCATCACAATGCCAATCAAAAATACATCATGCTTTCCATTGAATCAACTAAACGCTTAAAGGGTAAATTTGCTGGAATTTGATCAAAACCTTTCAATTGCAAAAAGAGACAGTGAAGATCAGAGTATGTCGATCTTCATTTTGAATGCTTGCTTTATGTTCAATAACGTGTAGCGCATTTAGCTCGCTTATTAGAACTGCACAACATCCAATTTTCACCAATTGCAGACAATTCCTTGGAAAGCAGGAATCACAGAAACCAAAGCACATTTGGTGAATTACCTTTGTTTGCAACAAGACAACGAAACCTGAAAGTCAATAGCTTTTTTGGCTACAATTAAAATATTGGATTTCCATCCCCAGAGGCAAGTGTGTCTGGACAGAAGGGAGTGGGGAAGAGACAAAACCTCCAATGCTTTGTGGAATAGGTTTCAATATCCAATCTTTACAGCCATCTTTATTAGCCTCACCCAAATGGCTCATTTCTATGGTGTGTGATTCTACCATTAAGTCCAAACACACCAGATTTTAGTTAACCAAATAGGCACTTTGTTTTTACAGTGAGTAACAAGTTCGTAACCTCTGTCCATCCCCATCCAAAACCATAAAAATCAGTTCACTTCTCATTTAGTAAGGAATATCATGTGTGTACAAATTGGTGAAAACATTTATTAATGCAGCGCAGTATGGCTGGACTCAAAACTCTTCCGGAATAATTTAGTGACATTGGAACCAACTGTAATATCAAAACCAGTTCATTCATTACTGTAATGGATCATTTACTGCATGTCACAGAAATTGCTGGTCAGTCAGCTTGTTTTGTTTTATATGACAAAGAAATCTCAAATTTATCCACGATTCACTGAACAAATTTGCGAATACACAGTAATAGCCTCACAATGCTCCGCACGCCCAACCATTTCCCCTTCGGCACTAAATGCAGATATACACTGCAGTAAATCAGACAGCAACATTCTGTATTGAAGGTTTTATTAAAACTGAGTGACACATACAAGCGTACAGTACAAAAGTCTGGTCCCTCAAAATACTACTCAGTAAAAATACAGATTATTGCAGTAATAACTGCAGAGGTTTAACTGTCTAAATACAGCTTGTTAGTGACTACTCCCATCCTAACCACATTCATACCACACTTGGAAAGAGCACACAAGGAAGAGTTTTAAATTCAATTATCTTCATATAATTTTTTCCTACATTTGGAAGAGGTGGCTAGCGGGAACATAGATCCTAGATCACCTGGCAACATAGATCAGGCTTACTCCAAACATAGTGGCCAATTCTATATGCTGGCCTGTTCAAGTGGTTTCAGCTTATGTATTTAACAGCAGTGTCAATCTTCACTTCACTGGAAATGTAACGCCCAGCTGGTCAGCATCTGATGGAAAAAGCCATTTGCCATTACTTCCATATTTGACCCAATGAAACTTTAGAAGATCTGCCCCCTTCAACTGTTTCATCTCCTGAAGCAATGGTTCAATGGGAAATGGCATTTTCCCCCAACCACACAGATAGCAATTGCTCACAAGAAAGCCAAGATATTGAATACTACTCCAGCATTCTATGATGGAGAACCACAATAATGGATTCAGGCTGTGGTGGATAGCCACGTCAGCACTTTCCAGAAGAAATGACCAGGTAGCAATTTGGAGTG